TTCTGCCTTTTAGCAAGAGATCGTGCATTTAGTGAATGAGAGTACCCATACCTTTTCCTCTAGTCTCCTTTGACATGGTGTCCTCTCCAGTGTGTCTCCGTTTCTGTGGTCACTCAGTAAAGCCGTCACGTTATTCTGCGCGGCGGCGTTTTCTCGGCTCTTCCTCCGTCCCTCTCCTGCCTGCTGCACCTTGATGTCTGCCAGACTGAGTCGGGGTTAAGCAGGCACCCAGAGCTACAGCTGTCGTGTCGGTCTCCTCTCGCAGTGTAGAGAAAAGAAACGCAAAAGAGGAGACTCTTCAGCTGGGCTCTCAGTCACCTGTGACAAGCCCCGCAGAGCATCGACCCGCCCCTGGCGCAGACACAGACTACTTCGGGTATTTGTTGGAGGCGATCTGTGCACACTTGGCTTACATGTCATGCCCACCCAGATCCCGTCCCTCTCTCCTCTCTGCCGCTAACATCAGCCAGAGTTCCTCCTAACAAGCCAGGGTCTGCATCTCGACTGCCTCCAGCGGTGTGCGCACGTCCGCGGCTGCTGCTGCTGCTGAAGGGCGTCCTTCCTCTCTCCTAACACCGCTTTCCGACTTTGCAAAATAGGCTACCAGAAGTGTCCTAAATTAGGAGGGAACAATCAGCTGCTCAGCAGTGACTTCATCCATCAAATGAACTAAGAGAAAGTCAGCTGAAAGCCATTCATCAGCCAAGAATTGTCTTTGGCACAACTCATTTAGTCGGCTATAATTAAACTGTTAATAAACTATATTGGATCTGGGACAACGAAATCATACAGCTTCAGAGAAGTCTGCGTAAAGCCTGTCGTTTATTTGTTCCTCTGGGGGGCTGCATAGCCTAAAACAGGGTATGGAGAACATGAGGTGTGAAGATGAAGAGCAGAAGGCAAATCACAGCAGAATCGCGGGTCTGTACAGAAATATTACATCAATTATACAGAATGTTAAATATCAATAGGTAGAAGTTGGTCTGAGAGTCACGGATGTGGTGCATTTCTGTTGTATATCAAAATGGATGTTGACTAGATGGGGTATAATGATGAAGAGGGGAATGCAAGAAATTAGAATATTAAATAGGCAGAAGACATTGTGTCAGTGTTTTCTCTCTGCGTGGGTGTGGCTGTTGCATATAAGAGGATGAGGAGAAGATAGG